CAAAAGGGTTTAATTTCCACGTAAATGTTTGTGTCGTCTATTTTATTTTATAAATTTCGCGATCGAAAAGGGAAAACAAAATCCAATTTTAATAAGATTATGTTTTTTGCTTTTCACAAGATATATGTTGACACAACATATATATATATATTATATAACAAATTAAAAAGTATTTATTAGACCAAATTACAATTATTGGCGTCATTTATTTCATCCATCGAATCCCCCCGATCGACGTGCATGATACATATAATTAATTCAACGAGTACCATCTCCGCCACCATGACCGCCAGTAGCGGTGGAGGAAACAACCAGAGATTTTTTTATGCCCGGATGATTGGCATTATAAGTTTGGTGAGAAGGCGGCCTGCTACCGCCACCTGGCACCGGCTTCGGACGACGCCTAATTATACGAGGCGGTATTGCTGTAAGTGGTTTTCCAGGCCTCTCAACTCTGGTTTTGGTTTCATAGTCTATTGAATTTGGATCATATCCAGAAGTAGTAGTTATGAATAGAATAACAAACCCTAATGCAAATAAAAATATATTAAGTTTACTCATTTTTATTTATGAATGTGTGTCTGTGTGTAAAATAATAATGAGAAATATAATCTCTAAGATATATATTGCAACACATTTATAGAGAAGCAAATTCATTAAATATGAGAGGGTAACACATGTGTAGATTTGCTTGTAATTAATTTGAACTTATCAAATCAAATGGAAAAAGAAACTTTTAACTTTTAATTTGTACTCTATCGGCTTTTAATTATGCCATTTACATGTTTTCTGATTTACGGGCTATTGCACGAGAATCAGTTAACTCGATAGTCAGTACGCATGTGTGTATCTATACATGAAGATTTGTTTGTTACGAAAGGAAAAAAAGGAGTTCGACGTGATAAGTTGGGATTTACGATACTAGACCATCTAAATTGTGACGAGACCAAAAATTATGTACATAAAAAAATTGATACATATACGGAACAAATATCAATATTTCTATATATTTTATATGCTACGGAAACGACAATATGAGGAAAATGGGGCTGACATGGCGTATCGGCATGTCTCAAAAATGAGGATACAACAGCTTGGATAAACGTGTAAATATTAAAAATATAGGGGTACATTTAAAACATGTGTATAAGTTTTTATTTATACATAAATTTTTTTTTTTCATACAAACATATTCAATATATACTTTACTATCAACTATCACTTTTTAATTGATCATTAAATTCTGTAAATATTTAGGGAACCAACAAAAATATTTGAAAATTTGCTATTCAAACATGCCTATAACTTTTTAGAAATTGCAAAATGGCCCATAAGGTGTCCGCGCGACAGGTGTCCTTGAGTACAGGACACAAAATCTGTCTAAAACACAAAAACGTTCATAAGTTGAAGTTTTCGTGCTACATAGGTTATATATATATATATATATATATATATATATATATATATATATATATATATCTATCTC